AACTTTGAGGAAGGTAGGGTTCAAATTCTGTGGAAAATGAAACCCAATGCACTTGTATGTAGGGAAAATTGCAGATGAAAAGACAAAGAAAATTGATTTGTATTCCTTTGTTCGATACAATTGATTACAAAAGATGAGGAAACGAATTTGGTTTCCTTTGTTTAAACTGGGTTCTCACGTGGCGATGGAGTGCTCCCTCGAATGCTCCGCGTCGAGTTGCTCTCCGTTGACGGATCCCACGGTCTTGATTCACTGGAACGATATCTTCTTCCTCATCGATTTGACGTTGTGGAGAAACTTGCGTGGCAATTTTTGTTTGAAAACTCTTGAGAGTTGACAACTCTGGAAACGAGTTTGAACTCTTGAAAAGAGTTAATTTGACCAAATCGGTATTAAGCCAAGGCCTAGAGGCTCCCTATTGGGCTGAAGTTGAAGATGATCTTCGTTATGGAAGATGATGCAATCTTCTCAAAATCTCTCGACAGTGGTCGATCAGCTAAGAAATCCAACCGGACCCGCCGAGGAGAAACCTGACTGAATTGATCTTCAGTTATTTATAGAGGATTTAAGGGGTGAACGCGCCCGCTAAATCTCTCCTAAGTGGGGTGTAACGCGCCCCAATATCGGTGGGAAACGGTTTTTACGAACGTTCAACTCCGTGTTTGAATGGAGTCGAAACGCCCACGTTGGCGTTCAGGACCCTAACCTTCGACGTCTTAGGATTGAGACGCGAGCGTGGTGTTGTGTTTGAACATTGGATGAAACGCTCGAGGGGTCGGTCGCGTTTTGGTTGTTGTAGCTTTAGAGAACCAGCCGGGGTCGGTGTTGGCTGACCCCTACGAACGCGAGGGTGCGGCTCACGTTTGCGCCCATTGTCTGTAAGCGGGGTCGACTCCAGCGATTTGATGTTGAAACACGGGGTTCGACCCTGGCGTTTTGATGTTGGTGACCGATGGGCTTCGACGCTTGGCGTTTGTGATGTTGAAACGGGCGGGGTTCGACCCTGGCGATTTTGATGTTGAAACGCGGGTCGACCTGGCCGTTTTGATGTTGAAACGCGGGTTTTGACCTCGGCGTTTTTGAACAGTTGTAACGGCGGTGTTTTCGACCTGGCGTTATTGATGTTGAACGCGGGTTCGGACGCGCTGGCATTTGATGTTGAAACAGCGGGGGAGGCCGCTTCCGCGTCTTGCCTGGCAGAGGATTATCACTAAGTAATCTCCTTTTTGGGTCATACGGTTGCAAAGATGCATTGTCCTTGATAATCTTCGTCTTTGGCTGCCTTGAGATATGAGAGTCGTCAGATTGTAACTCCTGCATGTTGATGTGAAGGCTGTTGAAGTAGAAGCTTCCATCAGTTGTCGTGAAGGTCGTCAGATTGGAAGTTCAGGGCAATCTACCGCGGAAAGTCTTCAGATATAGCCTTCTGTAAAAAAAAAGAAGTCGTGTCAGATTGTAACTTCGCTCGATCGTGGTTGATGGGGGATAATCTATTCTATTGTGATTTTAAGACATCCCCCCTCCGGCCTACAACCCATCTCAGCAACCTATTTTCCAAAATCTGGATTTTAGGAATAGGTACCGACTGGCGTTCATGCTCTTGAATTGGGCTCGTAATTTTGAACTGAACGGCATCTCTAAACATTGGTGTTTGCCTGCCTTCTATGGACGCAGGGTTTTGACCCACGTCTAATAGGAAGGTAAGCGGTTGCTAATGATGACGAGAGAGGATCCTTTGGGCGGAGTCTTGGGACTTTTATTATATATATAAATATGCCTTGATTGGCTTGTCAAGGGCCTTAATCGCTTAGCTTCCTTCTTGCAATAGAAACGAGCTTTCCTCGTTAATTCTCAAACTGTCGAGTTTTGTGTTCATCTTCCAGCGTGGCCTCAGAGATCTCTGCTCGAGCGATGACAGACACAGACGGTGCACCTACCCGCCGTCAAAGAAGGTTTTCGAGTCCTTTTCCTGGCCGAAGTCACGCCTCTCCCACCCTGGTCCTCGAGGGTAAGTCTTGCTGGCTGTTGCCTTCGTTTTCAGGCATCTTCATCAATGGGTTTTCTGAATTCTATAGATGATCGGTTGGAGGATGACGAATAAAATTCGTCTTTTCTCTTAATATGCAACAAGTTGCATTTTCTCTTGATGAAACTGTTCATCTTCTTGTAATTTTGCTCCTGAAAGAACTCCTGTGTCCATTGTAATGATGAAGACAACTCTTGACGTTGAACACACAGAGAAGTTCCTGTGTTGCTGATAAAATTGTTCGTCTTAGTACGAACAATCATATTTATCTGAATGCGGAAGAAAGCTTCCGTTTTATTGATAAGATGAAGGGTTGATCCTTAATCTGGAACGCCAGGAAGAAGTCCTGCGTTCATAGTTGTTCAACGCAGGTTTAGCTTCCTTGGCGTTCGCCGCTGATTTGCACATGTCTTAGATACTGCGTTTTTATTTACTGCATTTCTGAGCTTTGCTTTTGGTTTGTCTGCAAGGTGGGGCTTCTGCTGCTGAACCTATCGTCGTGTCGACGATGAAGGAGTAAAGATCATACCAAGAAGACGCCCCTCTTATTCGCACGATCCCGCGATCTTCCCGCCACGAGGAACTCGGAGCGGGTGTGCGATGAGAAGGTATTCGTCTGTTTCCCCATCTGTTCTGTTTTTCTTCCAGACGTTTAGAAAACCTGGTGAGGCAAGCTTTCGCATTGGATGCAGCGTGGGGCTCCGTTCTCTGAAGTTTCGAGCGTCACTTATGGTGGAAGGGTTGAAAGCTCTTTGCGGAAGTCAACGCACCCCGTAGCTAAGCGTTTGATCGCGACGATATATGCGATACTCGGGGCCGCCGCTATCTGAGGAACTGCACAGTAAAAAAAAAAAAAAGCACACTAACTTGGAGTCTAAAATCCAATGGCTGTCGGCGACGCTATGCTGAAGGAGGGGATGCTGATAGGGTCGATTTCTTGGATATTGTCAGAGAAGAAGGGCTCGTATCTGGAGCTTTGCAGAAGCAACGCCGCCAGCCAAGGCCAGACTGAATGCAGGGGCATCAGGAAGTTCCAGGCCTTGAGAATGCCACCTCCGCATCAAGAAGTTCCCAAGCAGAGAAGGAGGCTGCCAAGTGCTAAAACAGGGAGGCCTCTGGCTGTCTGCTGGTGCGATTTGGATGCTGAGCTCCATAAGAGAGTTAGAGAAGAGGTGCTGGCGAAGCACGGAAAATCCATGATCTAATACAGAGCTCATCTTATGAGTTTCTCTTTACTTAAACCCCGCGAAACTTACTCTTTGTTTGGATTTTGTAGTAAAACCTATGTTACTTACCTCAAACACTTATTATCTGCATAATAACCTGCTCTTTCTTGCATTTTTTCTGCTGTTGTCTGGCGATGTTATTAGTCTTGTTTGTGATGTTGGACTTCTGAATTTCCTACTGTGTTTGAATGATCTGAACACAAGGCTTATCAAAGACGCACGGTTTTGACTTTGCGGTTCAGATAGACTGAACACAGCTCTGGATTTGAAGTTGTGTTCAGCAAGAAGTCTGCCGCAGCCCAACTTGTTGAGGATCCTCTTTGTTGCTAGTGGGTAATCTCTGGAAGTCCCACTGTAGGTTTGATATCTGTGTGGGACGCTCCCCTTAAGGAACAAAGACTGCAGGATTAAGATTGCGTTTTGAAAGACTTGAAACGGCAGTCATAGAACTTGTTGTTGGGGAAGCTAGACGCATCGTAAGGGTTGCTCAGACTTTTCATTGAATCAATCGAACAACTTAGGAAAATTTCTTATTAAATACTTCTCCGACAACTTAAATCGTCAGGGTGTAGTGTTAACTTGACGACAAACAAAGTAGGAGAATTATCTATTCATACACATTTGATGAGCAACCCCAGCTAAGTCTCCAAGGGACTTGCAAATTATGGGAGTATTTCTTAAGAATTTCGCCTGTTAATTGGCCATCGATAATCTGTCACCTTTCTGTTGATGAGACGGTAAGCCCAATTGAATAGACGTCTAACGACAAAAGGTCATTCCCATTGGGATTAAACTTCCCTTTGTTTTATGAGTCATCAGCCATGGGTCGTGATTAGCAGAAGAAATCCCTTTCTTGAAAATCCGTTCTTAAAAAGAAAATAATTATAACCATAATAATCTCTGTGCATCATCGCTTGCAGTGTTGTAGGGAAGAAAATTATGATTCAAGATGTACAACATGTGATATAAATATTTTCATGATAACATAAAAAGATCATGAATATTAAAAATATGGGTAAATAACTAAATATAGTTAAAAACTTGAAGCAACTCATGGTATGTCACAAAGAAAAGTTTCACAATATAGAGAGGGAAGATCAAGAGCCTGCATATATATCTTAAAGATACGATAGGTTTGCATGACAAATGATGGCGCTGAAGAAATATACAGAAAGAAAGGACATTTTGCTCCTTATTACAGAACCTTGGATCTCACTTTTATCAGGCCCTACGCTGCTTCCACTATATCATATGGTGTAGGAGGTTAAAAAATCACATCAGCTTTCCAAAATAAAGGTAAAATGTTCCACGAGTAGATTTCAGATGACCACTTCATGTGGTAAACAAGCATCAGTATGAAATAGACAACTAAAAAACATAACCAACTTACTAGACTAAATCCTCTAAAACCCACAACGCCAGACCAAAAGAAGGAACTGTCTGATATCCTGAAGATGACCAAAATAATACATCTATCGAAAGAGGCATTGATAAACAATGACCATCTTGATATGGAAAAAAAGTCAGTATCAAATAGACAAAACTTTAAAAACTAACCAATTTACTAGTTTGGATCCTATAAAACCCATAAAATGCCAGACCAACAGAACTCTTTATTATACTGAAGAAGACCAAAATAATAAATATATCGGAAAAGACATCGATATATAGTAAAAGTTCCATAGATGTTAAAAGGTACAACACAAATACTAAAAGAATGACAAATAGTTAAAGCATGAAGAACACGAGACAGTTGATGGGGACAAAAAAAAAAGATTCAGCTATCTACCTGATATCCATTAGTGAATATGCTTGCATATGGTCATGGTTGAGAAGAATTAGAGGCAGAAGATCAACACGTAGCGGCTCCAGTCCTAATTGCTCCAAAATTGAAAGAAATCTCTGTCTTACACTATCAGAACAGAAAGGCTTACACTTGACAACAAGCCGGGAGTTAGGAACAGCACATAATATCCTTGCCCAAACTTTTAATACTTTTGGCGTTATCTGCCAGAAAAAAAAAGATGAACAACGCAAAGCTGTAATTCAGTTTAGCTAAACATTTTTAAAAGAGACATTCAATAATAACACTACCTTTGCCAAATTATTGAAGCTCCCAAAAGTAATAAAACCATTAGAAAGAGCTGGTGTGGGACAAACAGGACCAGCATCCGGCGAAGGCGTATAACAGAGAAAACATTTAGGCAAACGAACCAACTCCTCAACATGCCTGCAGCCACAATTAGTCAGAATATCTCTATCTATACAATTTAAAATCAAATCTCAAAAGTTCAACTCACTTCTGCTTTGTGTCAAGGGGATCAGCCAGTGCATCTGTGATTCTATAATCAATTGTTGGCAGACCGGTTGTATTTGGGTAACCAATCCATGTTGCCTAAGAAAGCATAGTGGGAGAAAAAGTAACTATGAGAGGCAAAATTCATAAAGAAAATTATCATTGTTAAAAGTAGTTATTGGAAATAATTACATGCGGATCTTCAGTCTTAGTTCATTTTAACATGAGGAAATAAGCTAAGAAGCACAAGTTGGCATGCAGACATGGAAGCAACATGATAGACATGAAGATAAAAATGATAAAAGGTACAAAAGGAATGGCAAGTACGCAACAAAAAGTGTCATCTCCAATATATGACTGACATTAATATAGCTTCACAGTAGAAATATCCATGAAAATAAAAGGATGCTCTTTAATAGAAGAACAACCTATATCCTGTTGTATCTCAGCAAAATTTGGCAGTTTACTGCCACTTTCTAGTTGAGTTTACTCGCAGACAGTGTTTAGGCCACAAGACTGGAGGTTTCAAGGGGTATGAGTGTAAATAAGAACTGTGGAGGTGAAGGTCATTAAGGAGCATGTTTTACATGGATGTATGTAAAAAACAAAGCGACTCAAGCAATTCCAGGAAACATGATAAATGACAAGGATGCTAAATTTATAAATTTTAAAAATATCAAGAGGAACAAAAACGCAGAGAAGGTGATACAGATGTGAATTTAAATAAGGGCAGTACCTGGATGGGAGCAGGCCTGCAGGCCATCATCCCTAGCTTGTTATTTGCAGTGTGACCAGTAAGCTCCACCAGTATGTCAACTTTATCCTCCCTAACCATGCTAGCAACCTTCTTCTCATCAATCCCATATATATCCCTCCATAGCCCTCCTTTTTTCAGCACCCTGTCCTTGAATTTATGGGTTTTGGCATCTGCCTACAATATCACAGTAAAACACAAGGACACTAACTATGTTTAAGCGTAAAGGACAGAGACTTTATAATTTACTGAAAATGATTGAAAGAAAAAAAAAAGTAGAAGTAGAAAAATTGATTGGTTTACATATCATACAGCCCCCATAAACTTGACTTAAAGACGTGTTGTAAATTACTTGAAAAAAGACTTCAAGATACTTGAAAAAAGACTTCAAGTTAACTAAGTGGTGACACTTGTGCATGAGAGAAATAACCATACCTTTACAACACCAGAGTACACAATCACCTTGTAATTTGTGTAATCATGGAAAAAGAGAGGTGCTTCAATGAAATATGATACAGAGTGAGTAATATAATCAGGTGACACATATCCAATTACTAATGGGCGTTCCATATCTTTAGGATTATCCCAACTGGTATATTGAGGGTATAGCTTCATAAATCGCATTCCCCATTCCCTGAGGAACAATTAAACATCAGTCAGTCAAACTACTATGAATTTGTACCACTAACTGAAGTAGTTTTATGTGCTCATTCCCTGTTGAAATTAAAAGTACAGAACTGAACTTGTAAACAACTAAATACTGAAGTTGCAGAATTACCAATAAAAATGATTAACAGGTGTGGTATACAAAACTCATAATCATTTTCATGATTAACAGGCATGCTATAAAAATGAAGTAGTTTTATATGTTCACTCCGTGTTGAAGTCAAAATGACAGCACTGAACTTGTAAACAACTAAACAAGTAATAATGAAGTTGCAGAATTATCAAAATAAATTATTAACAGGCTGCTATATAACACTCGTGTCTATTGCATGCAGATTTCATTCGGATGGTACTTCAATAAGAAAATTTTAGCAAGAAATCAGATATTCCATCTAAAAAGACATGGTTCTACATTTGTTTCCAACAAAGATAATTTGATCAAAAGTACCATATATGCATCTTTCAATACAGGAACTTCGTGGAACATAAAAAAATTCACAATACAGCTACACAAAAAGAGACAAAAAAACAGAGAGGATATCCATAACATTGACACTCCGATCTTAATGAACCAAGGAAATTTGCAATGGCAAAAAAAAGTTCTCATTTGCAAAGCATCTATAAAACAGGTTTTCCATCCTTTTAAATATGACACGGCAGAGCAACAATGAATCATAATGCATTAACTACAATATAAATTTTATCAGGCTCTCATCAGATTTCTTTTGGACCAACGAATTTGAAGAACAGTTCGACAAATATTTCTAATTCCCAAGGCATTCAATAACATTCATTAACTTGACAAAGCAATCGTGTGGCATAAACCTGTCACAATAGATGGGCAGCAAAACAATAGAAGCGCTCAATGAGATCGAAAAGTATCACCTCTTCTATAGTCAAAATCAAACAGAGTTGATTCATCTAAAATGAAGCTTAAAAAGTTCAAACATAAAAGCTAACTCCTAGATTGAATCTTACCAGGTTTGGAATAAAAACCAACTATTATCGAAAATTGACTTCTAAATACACTGATAATCTCATATTATAGAAATATCCATAAACAGGTACCGAACAGAATGGGAATCCTGTGAAAGCATATATACTTTGTAAAGAGTTAGAAATACCTGTGAGCCTCAAAAAGCTTATCATCAGAGCCCTCATTTATATAGTTCATTGCAAGCAGCCGGTTCTGCAAGAAGTTAATTGCTTGAGAAAATTTCATAGAAAGCACCAGAAGAATCAAACAGCATAGGTAATTTCTACTTAGCATTCAGTACATGATTCATGACTTAGATATTGAATGTCTAAACATCCAAGAATCTACCAGAACATCTAGACTGGAAGACGATATATTGTAATGATGTAAAACTCAATACATGTTACGGCAGGAAAATTTCAGTAGAATTACAACCAACAGCAACCTCAACTAATGAATAGAATGTTATGGAAAAAATAGGTCACGCTATACAAATAAATTCTGAATGCTTTATTGACACTGATAGATAGTACTATTTTTTTTCCTTAGCTTCCAATATACATAAAGAGTAATGCTTCATAAGATCCACGAATAGCTGATATTTTGTGAATAGTTTATTCATAAGAAGATTTACAGAAACCATGCCCCGAAAAACAGTTGAATGAGAATATTAGTGAATGATTCACCAATATGTCAATGTAATAATACAAAAAATGAGCTAGATTTTTGCAGTAACTAGTAAAAGAAAAAGTAGGTAGAAAGAACATGTGCTGTGTTTCACTACATACTAGCAAAAAACCAAGCTTCCAACATAAATAGTGACGCTTCATAAGATCCATGAATAGTTGATATTTTGTGAATAACTTATCCATAAGAAGATTTACAGAAACCATTCACCGAAAAACGATTGAATTAGAATATTAGCGAATGGTTCACCAATTCGTCAATGTAATAATACAAAAAATGAGTTAGATTTGTAATAACTAACTAGCAAAAAACAAGCATATACATAATAACCTCTAATACTGCAAAAACAGAGTGCATGAATTGTGAATTCCTCCAATAAGGTTATAATTATCGATAGAAATGAATAACTACATGTAGGCGTCAAAAAATGCTTACAGACATTCAAACACCACTCAAGACGATATAGAAGAACAATATACACGTCATCAAGCAACATATGGCGGCGCGGCAGGACATGGTGCCGCGGCTATGGCGCGGCAGACCAAGGTGCCGCGGCTAAGGCGCGGCAGACCAAGGTGCCGCGGCTAAGGCGCGGCAGCCTATGGTGTCGCGGCTTAACCGCTGCAACCTATGGTGCCGCGGCAGTTAAAGCAGGATGCTACAGCAGTTATAATACAGTTATCTGATGATTATTTAAAGTCCACGTGGCGGAGTATCAGAAATAGAACGTGTGCTGATGTGGAAAAGCAGTTAAACCACGAAAAAGGTGGTTAAAGGTCGTGGGAGAACTGTTTCAAACACGTATGAACGTGGGTGTAACTGCCCCTTTAGCCGCGGCAGTGTCGACTGCCGCGCTCTTTGGCCGCGACAGTGTCGACTGTCGCGCCCTTTAGCCGCGACAGCATCAGCTGCCGCGCCTAAAGAGACAGTTATTGACCAGCTATTTCTTCAGTTATCGTCTAAGGAGGCTATAAATACCCCCCTATAGCCATCATTGACAGGGGCTGAGCATTTTCCAGAGAGATTAGAGCAGAGAGCCTTGAGTTTTGGTGAATTAGAGCAAGAGAGAGAGTCTTCCTTCTTCACAAACATCCTCAAGAAGCTTCTAGCGAGTCCTAGAGATCTAAGCTCAGACTTGATCTTTGGAAGAGTGAACATCTTACATCGATAAGATATTCGCTTCAAATTCTTACTTCGATAAACGAAGGAAGAATCATTAAACCCCTCACGGTTCAATCAGAATCTGTGATTTGGTGGTCCACGAGTCAAAGCGCTCCCGGCACAGGCAAAGATCCCACGAAAGCAGTGATCCAAACAACGATCCTGCGTTTATTTTCTCAAGAGTTGTAATTTTCTTTTTGTTGTGTAAAAGAGTCTTATAAAAAGGCTGTTTTCTTTGAATTTATTGTAATCGACCGAAGATATAATGAATTCCATGACAAAACCAACTTTTGACCCAAACAAGCTGGCGACCACAGTGGGAGCCAACGGTCTCGCTGCCGAGACCGTCGTGTCGCAGCCGATCAAGATTCCAGTTGAATCCATGGTCGAATACGAATTCGACCAAACCAAGTTTGAGGAATATTTCTCATCATCCTCTTCAAGATCTTCAGTATCTCGCAAGTACAAGAGGATCTCACAATTGAGGAAGAGTTGCATGCCAAAGAAGGCACAAAATGAAGACTCTCGCTTGATTGTTGCTGAGAATTTCACTCGCAATACTTCTGCTCACAATGGCTCTTATCTAGTTAAAGAGTCATCGAATCAAAGCCCGCCGGCATTGACGAAAAGAGCTCGTCAGAGACAACGCCAACGCTGTGCTCGCCAAATGGCTAAAGCCTTGGAACAAACCGACGGGGTTCGTTACCACGCGGACCTAGAGTCGAGGAGACATCGAGTGGTTCAGTTGTCTCAACAACCAATCACTCGTATCTCTGCTAAAACAACGACGGATGAATGGACTATTGTCAAAAAGACTCGTTCGACCCTCAAAGAACGTATACAAAAACGTCGTGCAAAAGCTGCTAATGCCCATGCTCTCTCACAACAAAGACGAGAAAAGAGAAAGGAAATGGTGACCAAAGAATCACCAAAACTTCGTCAAGTTTGGATTCCAAAGTCTGGACTTATGCAAAATCAGCATTCGGAGCCCGTTAAGACTCCATACCCACAAGGGGGTGGTTCTAAACGTGCGACTCCCGACATAACCTTGGATCGCTTAAAGACAAAAATAAATTGTCCTGAGAATGCCAACAAGGTTTTATACCCCCAGAAGAAGACGCATTCACCAAATGATATCGTCATACCTGGGAGATCATACCAACAGACGATACGATTTTTTGGCAATCATACCGATGAATCGTATTATCAAGTTGAAGTTGTGAATAATTTTCGAAAGAGAGTTATTCGAGAGATAAACTCTCGTTGTTCCTGTGCGCGACTCGTTAAAACAGCATTATCAGAATGTGACTGTTTCAAACGAGAAGTCATCCCACGAAAAGTCTCTGTATTATCGAAACCTAAGCCGAGACATTTCCGCAAAAGAAGAGCAGCTGTCCAAAATGATGAATTCCCTGAAGTCACCATCAACGTGGCTGATAGAAGAAAGTCTAAACAGCATTCAAGTGACTCAAATCCCGACTTTTCCCCGAAAGGAAAAGTCAATCCAAGAATTGCTCAAAGGATGTCTCGACTCCAATTAGGAGCTATCAGACGCAGAGACTACAAGAGAATGCAAGAAGGAATGTCCTCGGAGGATGAATTCTCGGACACTTATTCTGCAATCGCTTCTGATGATACAATGTCTAGCACAGGACAAATCAGAGAAGTATTCACAATCACTGCTGATCAGTTCACTCAAATACTTCAGGAAGCTCTAGCCAAACAACGTGAAGAAATTAGAGCTGAAGTGAAGACAGAAATGAAGTTGGCTATCCAACAAATGAGAGAACTGTTAACTCAACAGCCTCAACCTCCTGAGTCCAATCAGCGATTTGAATCCAGCCACCACACTCGGAATGTTGTAGATGACAGTGATCCAGAGGTGGATGAAGTCATTATGGCTGATACACCTCCCAATGGCAATAACGCTGGGGGTGGTTTAACGGATCCTCCCAATAACGATATTGGGGGTGGTTCAATAGCACCTCTCACTGGGGGTGGTCCAATTATCTTTACTCGACATCATTCAGAAAGAAATGAAGACGATGACGGGAAAATGCAAAAACTTGAAGACAAAATCAATGCTTTGATGACGGCTCAAGAAGTTAAGAAGACGGGTATTCCATGTCCTTATCCGAGGGAATGGGATTCAATACCATACCCGACCAAATTCAATCTGATTAACTTCACACCGTTTGAAGGGAAGAGCTCGCCTATTCAGCACTTGATCTATTTCAAGTCGCATCTCGGCGTAATATCTGGGAACGAAGCCCTGATGGTCCGGTCATTCGTTGGCACCCTTCGTGGGCCCGCCTTCGATTGGTACCGACGGCTCAAGCCAGGGAGCATCAATTGCTGGGATGACATAGAAAATTTGTTCCTCAGCAATTTCTTCGATGATGACACCGAAGTGTCAATCGGAACCCTTCTAGATGAAAAACAAAAAGACGGGGAGTCAGTCGACAATTTTGTCATCCTGTTACAGAGGAGTTCATTCTGCAAACATGCCACAATAACCTCTCCATCGATGTCCTGGAAGCTCTGGGGGTCGTGCCATCCACAACTTGGAAGGAGTTAAAATCTCGTGGTGAACAAGTTGAGCACTTTCTTAAAAGAAAGAAAGCTGAGAGAGGCCAACCAATGACATCGGCAATCGTTGAGAATGCGACTCTCGATCCGAGGTTTCAAAAGGAATATTCTTTCGAAGATGATGAAGCT